CTTTTTTCTTCTCTTGTTCCGAGTTGTAAGTGCACAGCATTGGATACTTGTAACCTTCCTTTCCTCCTTTGGAATTGAATCTTTCTGTCATGACAGTGGAGGAGACAGGTTCCCATTGAATAAGAGGTTTGGTTGCCACATGAAAGCCACATACTGCCTCAGTGTGCTCGTGGTTTTCGTCTGGATGACTGAAGTAGATTACTGACTCACCACCTGAAAACTTCGACAGTTCACATCTATTCCATCTGCCCTCACAGATACTCAGCACTTCCATACCATATCTACCCATTTGTTCAGCAGCTCGGACAGCCTTCCCAGTCTCACTTATTTTACGAACACAATCCACGTCCCCATTCTTATTCTCGCTTTCATCAAGAGAAGACATATGGGTTGGCTGTTGAAGTTTCTGTAGAAGTATGATTGGTCTCGTGGTGTAGGTTCGCTAGTTCATACCGAACCCTCCTTCATTCCCCGGACTAGGGAAAAGCTGCAAAACTAGTGAGCTAGTAAACTAGACTAGGTTATGTTGATAATAACAGCAATAACAAAGATGTTGACACCTCAAAAGTACACCAGCATTCACACTATGAACATGCACTTCATTAATGAATGAAATCCAACATAATCAAGTTCTGCTTTCTTGGATTTCATTACTTCCTATCATTCCATAGAAGATAATGTAAATATTATTGATTCTATTCTATTTACACAGGCTTAGACATGTACTATCTATGTACCTGAAATCAGTTATCTGAAACACTAAATGTAAGCTGAAGACACAGAAAACAAAAATTCATTAGAATTGACAACATTGAAAAGGAAAGATATTATAAAGTGGATTTATTATTGTAAACAAGTTTCTTTTTGATGAATTAGCTTTTCAAATGATTGTTTTAGCTTCTTTTCACAAGTTTGTACTTGTTTCTCTGTTACATCAGAAGTAAAACATATCAGTCTCTAGCTGATTGATTGCTATCGAATAGATGTTATGAAGCTGTACTAGGAGGTTGTGATCAAAGGGGCTCACTATGTGAAGGTTAACTGGATAGTGATCGATGGCAGTGGTGGAGGGTGGTGCTATATATTAAGAAATGAAATAGCTAAAATTCGCGGTTCACTGGATACTTGAGGACCGAATAGCTAGCCTCGTTATCCTGAAGGTCCCGGGTTCGATTCTTGCTGAGGTCCGCTGTGTGCACTTCTGAGGAACTCTATGGTAGGATGGAACAGGCATTCAGCGCTTTGTGATTGTAAATGCTATCTAACTGGTGACTGACTGGTTCCAACGTAGAACTTTGCACAGTACAAATGTTCAGCAGTTCCAGTCTCCACACTTCCTTCTTGTAGCACACAAAGCAAGAGAAGAAAGTAAAAAGAAATGCAAAATAGAGACAGTAGACAGGGATATGAGACAAAATGAATAGTAATATCAAAGAACAGTATAGTTTTATTGGAAATTACAATTTACAAGGAATGGATGCATTTGCGCCGTCATTGAGAACGATTTTAAGCCATGTCACCAGTTTTCTCCAGCCATTGGTTTATACCGTCCTGAGGATCCCAACCAGGATGTCTACAACTCCCTCCCTACGTGGCTGGCTTAAACTAACTGTTGTGGATTTCATTGACTGATGAAGCCATGTTTTGGTTTGACCACTACTCGCCAACTCTTTTCCAACCTGATCCATGATACGTCAGTTAATATTGCCTGTTATCGAGGAAGGTGATGGCTAGGCATGCGTAACACGTGTCCTAACCATCTCAGTCGATGTAACTTCTTCTGAAGGTGTTCAGAAGACCCTACATTTTGTCAGCGTCTTCATCTAAATTGACTATATCATCTGCATATTCTGTGTCAACGAGATTATCCCCACCCTGGTAACAAATCAATCCCTGAGTCCCTGAAGTCACTTAGGGTAAATTCCAATAGTGTATCTATGAAGAAATTGAATAGAAATGGGGATAGTGGGCATTGCTGTCGGACCCTACTGCTTGGCACCACTAGTTTTTATCTAACTGGTGCTGGTTCTTAACGGAATCTTCATTGAAGAGTAAACATGTTCACAAATGACTACAGGTGGTATGGTATCTAATTCCATGTCGTTTTGTCAATTGGATAAAACATAATTTCATACATCATAAAAATATCAGTTTTACTTAGGCAACACTGAGAAAGTTCTTTTTCCTTATATAATCCTCATCCTTCCTTCCCATATGCCAGGATAGTTCAGTCTTGCGAATATCTACGATAGTTGTTCTCAGTTGATTCGATAATCAATCTCTGCCTCCATCCTGTTACACATTAGATGTTAATACTGTCATTTCGCCTACTTCCCATGACTTTCATCCCATGGCATGATTATAGGTAACTGAATGTGATTCTACTGGGGGCATTTTTTCCAGACTCCTCATATTACTAATATCAGCTAATTGAGATTTCCCACTGGTGACGTCATAACAGCCACTCACTGCCCTAGTGTGATCGTGGTTGTCGTCTGGATGACCAGACCCGAGTAGATTACTGAGTCTCCAGTTTACAATTTTAACAGGCCACATCCTTGCCAGAAAGCCTACTTGAACAGGGCAGTACCTTAATTTTCACAGCTTCGCTCCATTACAGTACAAGAGAGACTTGATGAAATGCTTGTTTAGGGGGATTCAGCGTATATGTACAGCTGATTTCATCGAGAAAGAAAATGAAATATTGATGGGTACAAAGACGATTACAAAACACTCAGTCATTGGATTTAATCTCAAAGTGGTTTTCTAACCGATGTCAGCTGATGATGAAATCCTGTAACCGAATTCGCTTATTATTGTTGAAATGTAGTCAACTTCCATACCTTTGAAGTGAGGCTTTAGCTTTCACTCCTTTCCTCCTCCTCGTCAGGACGCTACATCCACTGTAATTCTCTTGACCTTCTCTCAATTTAGTGAATCTTATGGCTTCATTCTTATGTCAGTCAATGATACCGTATTAAATGACTAATGTATAACCAGAGTAAATAATCTCATATTACCATTTTTTGCTATCATTCTATACTACTATATACGCTGTTTGATAGAGAGATATGAATACTCGGAGCATTATATACTAAAGATTTCATGCTTCATTTTGCAAAATGTATTGTATATATGTTGTTTCTTTTGCATTCCACATATAGAATTTGGGAAAGGATTTATTGATTTTTCATGACACACTGAATAACGTTAAGTGAGTATTTAATATGACGCTGAAATAAACCCTAAAACTGTAAATTTGACTTAGAGGTAAAATACAGGTGAAGATTTTTTTATTCCTTCGAGTAATAAGTGGAAGGAATATTGAGCTGCAAAACAGATCTTTGAAGTCTCAGTAGCAGGGGTGGTTTAATTGCGTAGAGTTGCTAGCCCCAGGCTCAACCTTCCCTCTTTGTGTGATTTAGAACTGGCTAAGGGAAATAAAGGTGTTTGCTAGCCGTGAATCGAGCCGTAAAGCATGTGCATGATTCGCGGGCATTCTACAGTCAAGCCATCAACGCACATGTAAAGATACTGACTATAAGACTTTGTAATGGATCATTAACACAGAATCAAATATTTGCGGTTTCAATAACATGATGATATTTTGGTTGATCGTGAATAGAAATGGAATCCAGGATACACATGCATCTCTTTCGAAGGCTAATCGTCCGTACAACTAAAATCTGAGTGGTATCTTGACAAAAGAATTGTAGCATGGTGATGTTTGCTTAACTAGCTAGCTACACAGTGAGGCTACGAACAAGCGAACGTAACACAACAGCGTGTCAAATGGCTCACCTTCAATTCAACCAACAGACTCAAACAAGCAAGATCCGCACCCAGAGTCGAATGAGATGAAACCTACACTTCGATAATCTTGTGGAATTATTCACCGATACATCCATTCCTAGGAAATATATATTGTTTGAAATTAAACCTTTTGTTTGTGATTCAACTTCATCATATGTGTCCTGAAATTGGACATCAAATTCACCGCCTTCTGTAGTCCTTCACCAACTTGAAAGAGGAAATATCGTAGTGGATTGTGACGACAAATGAAACGAGTATACTAACAGTATGAATCAAATAACTATCTGTGTGCATCACTTAACAGACTTCACCGATTAATGTGTTAGATTTTTAGATTTCATTTTCAGAAGGAGTGATCATTGTCAAGAATAAAGTGATTATATTTCTGATAACAACCGTGATTACTTCAAGGAGGCCTGCTAATCATGATGAACCACAGCACTTAGCCGTGTTAAACATGTGACTCCTTCCCGAATATACTTCAGAAATCTAGATGACAAGATTCATAATTGAAAGAAAATCTCAGGTTTCATTAACACTTCGTTTAGTAAACAAGTCATTAACAGAGAATTTATCATGTAGGTTTGTGATTCATGATTTCACATAAATATTTTCTATTTCTCATTTCAAACGATCGACACAACCATACTCTACTCCACTCCACTCTCCTCTGCTCTGCTGTAGTCTACTGAATAAATTCGCTAGCCGAGATTATCTCACCTAATGCCGGAATTTCACGATTTGAAGAGCAAATGGAGGTGGATTGGAGGTCACACTCTGAGAAAAGAAATCATCAAGTGTCATCACACGCAAGGTTCCCTCTCTCAAGTGGAACTCAAATGGGAAGCAGCGAGTCAGTTGGTTGTCAGTGAGAGGGTGACACGCAGGAGGGCAGACGTGTAGCTTGGTGAAAACGTTGGTGGAGAACTCAAAGCAATGGAGACGTGCGGCTGATTCCCTATGTTCTTCTACGAACTGAACGAGACAACAATAATAGTAATGATAATAAGGAAAACATTGCATTTTCACAAATTTCCACAGAAGCTATATTTGATAATTAAAACATACTTAGCCTCACAGTGCATGATCAAAAACAAACAAAAAAAAGACGACTACAAAACACTCAGTCACTGGATTTAATCTCAAAGTAATGTGTTAAACAAACTTCAGTTCACTGCAGCATATTCTCAGCTTCTATTGGGTTTCAGTTTCTCCTTCAATTTCTCCACATCGTTGGATATTTTCTCGAAGGCTACTGATAATCGTTCCATAATTTTGACTACTGTTTTATAAAACGACAGTGTTATCCGATTTAGAGCTTGAGGTTTGTAGAATTCAGGAGGTGTTTGCACTGCTACATCAACTAATTTACCTTTGCGTTCTTGTTTGTTTTCTTCTTCTGTTGAAGTTTCATTTTTGCTTTTCTGTCTGTATCCAGGTGGTATAGTGTCTTCGTCCTCACCAAGCATAGGCATCTTTTTCTCCTCAACTCTTTCCGTCACTTCATCAGGACTGGTAGTTGTTATTTCTGTGTTTTCGGTAGCCGTCAGCACTTCCGCTACTTCCTTTTGTACATTTTTATTATCCTGTGAATCAGCATCTGGATTAGAACTTTGTGTTTGTGGTGGCGTCACTGTATCAGCTACTGGTTGCGTAGGTTCACCATTCGGTATATCCGACAATGAATGAACTCCAAGATTGGCTTGCAGTAGTGCTAGTAAAACAGTGCAGAGAAGTACGTCCATAGTAGAATCAAATATCGTTATATCACATTAGCATTTTCTAACAAATCAGTTTATATACAAATAGTTACACTTGCAATAAAAGTCACAAGATTTTGTCGAAAGTGTTTACAACCAATTGGATTTGTTTCAAAATGATTGTTTATTCACATTTTTTCTGAAAGCATGAAATAATACTACTTCCATACATTGAGGGGTGAGATAATGTCATATGTATCAGGGGGTTAAACAAATGGTCTGACTCTCCAATGACTGAATTAAGAAACGTGACTGCCAAACAAGTTTTAATCTTATAGTTCCTGTTTCACACTTTGTTTTAGAGCGTACTTTTAATATTATTACACCAGTCACCCAGTCATTTTGTCTTATTTCAATTCGGATCATAATAAAATCGATTGTAAGAGGTAGAAGCAGGTAGTCAGCTGTGACAAACACTAAGACAACTTCTAGTCTTTATACACCTGATTGGTCAGCTTTTATTTGTGATTACTGATTAGTCAAACAAATTGAGTTAGCATAAAATCTGATGTTTGTGTGTTAACAGTCTCCGAATGTCTAGGACCCATTCTAGCCGACATTTTCCTAGCGAAACTAGAAAATGGGCTTTAAAGGATGTTTTCAATGAACTCGAATTCTATTGTCGGTACATGGATGATACATTTTTGATTATGAAAAATGAGAAGGAAGCAAAGAACATCCTGGATAAATTTAATGAGGTACATCCTGCAATAAATTTTACTATTGAGAAAGAAAAAGACTCTAGTATTTCATTTCTAGACGTCCTTATGACCAGTAAGGAGGATGCCAGAATATGAAGAAGTGTATGTAGAAAACCTACATCAACAGGTCAGTATACTCATTTTCTCAGCTTTGTTCCCTTGAAATACAAACGCAATCGGATAAAGTGCTTGGTTCACAAAGAAAGAGCGATTTGCTCGGATGAATGTCTTGATGAGGAACTTAATAATATTAAATGGTTGCTAAGTGAAAGTGGTTATCCAGAAAAGTTCATTGATAAGAATAGGAATCTAAAACCAAAGCAGCCCAAGGTACCGACAGTTCTAAAAAAAGGACCTTATTTTTACAAATGCAGTTCCTTGGGGACAACATCAGCGAGATACTAACACAGTGCCTTAGAAATGCAGTAAAAAGAGCATTCCGTGCTGCCGAATTACGCTGTGTTTTCAAAACCACTCCTCTTTTGTGTTCAGGAATAAAAGACAAACTGCCTAACTTCGCCTCTTCCATGTGTATCTGGCAATTTAACTGCCTCTGTGGAGCCAGTTACATAGGCCGTACAATCAGGCGTGTTTCTCGTCGGATTTCCGAACATCACCCTGCCTGGTTAAGCAAAGGACAAACAAAATCTATTCGCAGCGCTATTCTATCTCATCTTGTGAATACAGAACACAAGATTGACGCTAACCATGCTTTAATGGTTATTTACCGCATACCTACGAATCTCAATTTTGCCTTATGAGTTCGACTACTAAATATTGCTGAGGCTGTTGGGATCCATATAAACAAGACTAATTTGTGCGTCCAAAAGAAGTTAGTTCAGACATTATCCTTACCTTGGCCATCTAGGTTTGAATGATCCTGAATTTTCTCCATTATGGATAAGATTTTATTTTGATAAGTCATACAGTGTTATACAGTAATATTAACTGATGACGTTTTTGTGGAATTTTCCTAATTTTAGTTGATATTCTATTTGCTACTATATCTTAATTATTATTATAATTTAAACATCTTTAATGAACTGTAATTCCACTGTATTCTTACTTTACAAATCGATATTATTTAAAAAAACACTAATATTGTTAGTGACTACTATTCTAGAATATTCTATGTATATAAACATATACATATATAATTGTAGAGCCAGAAGAGGAAATTATCGAAAAGGATATTCTTTGCTCAGTTATTTTATGTTTTATAGATATCTGAATGAATATTTTTTTAATTTCTAAAATTGTATTCGTTCGCGTTCCCACCAGAACATAGGGTTTAAGCTAGAGCTTTCATGTTTCCACACCAGTGGTCTAATTTTTACGGGGTGGAACTGTTAGTCTCACCCCTAACCTTACATCTTTGACGGACTTATTATTTGCTAAGAGAAGTTTGACAGTCCGTACGTCGGCCGGGAATCGAAACACGGATCGCCTGATTGGCTGGCAAGCATTCTACCTCTTCACCGCAGACACCTTTGCAGACTCGTTAATAATAAATACCACGATTTACTAAAATGAACTTCTGGAGTAGTGACGAGGCAAGATGTCAATGAAATAGCCTGCAGAAATCATAATAAACACATCAACAGTAACTAACTGACTTAGTATAGATATAACTGAAATTTACCACACCGAATAATGTTAATTTCTTCGATTTATCAGTTGTCTATAATAGACGGTGTCATGTTGTTTTTTTATCAAGGTTTATTCACTTCTTCACTGAGGAATTAATACGTCTAGCACAACATTATACAAGGTCAACTGTACCCGAAATACCCCAACGCTAGGTGTATAACCGCAATACTGTATGATGTGGACTTGAATCTATACTCATGAAGATAAATAGATGCCTTACAAATGTGTTTAAATCTTAGGTCTATTGTGTATTTCTGATGTATTGTTTATTTCAGACCACCTGACATCTTATCCACCGGGGAGTGAAATTAATGCGATAATATAAATATGCCCCATATCTCGTCCTTACTTGTTTGTCTTGTTCTCCACTGACCTGTTCCATTCAGTGCGGAATAAAAAGGATAATGTGAAACAGACACAAACTGTTTACCTTGTTAATATATATGCATGACACGACTCTGAGCATCGGAATACCAGCGTCATATCTGAAACAGCTGTTTTTAGGTGCATACTTAACGTACAATTTACATTCAACGACATCCCCTTGGCCCACCTTTGACACACTGATTCATGGCCAGCCTGAAATACGGTATCTTAAAATCAACCATGGACAAATTGCTGCTGCACAATAGATGCGTCGATGACACTTATATAGTTTGTCAGGATGATTCAAATTTAAAATGTATCTTACAGGAGTTTAATAACTGTCATCCTTCAATTAAATTCATAATGGAAGTTGAAAATGAATCAAAGATTTCATTCCTGGACGTCGAGTCTACAAGAAGAGATGATAGAATTCCGAAAAGACCTATCCAAAGAAAACCAATATGGAATGATCAACTGATAAACTTCTACAGTTGGATACCTATCAGCCGCAAAAGAGTTCTCAGCATCTCGCTAACCAACCCACATGAACAGAAAAATTTGTATCGATGACTGTTTAGAAGAAGAGCTCCCATTTCTAAAAAGCATCCTGGTTTAAAATAGATACACACCACGTTTCGTGGAGAAGAACGTGATAGCAAGGCAGAAAATGGAAGAACGCACTTCAGTGCCAAAGAAAACACTTTATTTGAATATGGAATTCAGTAAAGACTTAGCCGCAGATATCCTTAAAAGGAGAATCTCAAATTCCCTGAATAAAACTTTCCTGCTGCAACTCTAGGAGTGATATTCTGTAGTTGACCATTACATCGGAGCAACGTGAAGGAAAGACTTCCGCATATGACCACTTCAGTGTGTATATATCAGTTCACCTGCTCGTGCGGAGCTAGATACATACGTCGTTCTATGCGGATCTTATCAAAACGTGTTAGAAAACATCATCCAGCATGGCTTCAACGAGGGGGCAGTACAGTACACACCTACCACCTGGGTTCGAAATAAGCACGTTCCAGGTACTGGCACTAGCCAGCCAATGTCACTGCTGGCGAGTATCTACCACTGAGTAGTGTCCCAGTGGCTAAATGCTATACGAGCTAATTTGCCTAGTAACCGGTAGGTCCAGAATTCGTACCGTGATGGTGGGTACGCAATGCCGATGTGTCCGAAACTAGGCTGACAAAACAGCTATCCAGCACTCCCTGGCTGGCTTTCAATAGTTCTCTAACTGATTAAAAGTGCCCATTAAAATCTTTCCAAAGAACGGTTAAGGGGTAAAGAAGATTCTTTACGATAACCTGCTCTTCATCAGCGTCTACAGTTATTCATACATATTAATGGATGAATAAGTGTTATGAACAACATTCTTGTTGCTTAAATAACATCGAATCACTAATAATAACATCAATGGATTACACTGCGGTAGCATCAACGTAATAATATACTGAATGATTATCAGAAAGATTAGGTATTTATAGTCTCTACTGAAGGCCGGCCAGTTCAGTAGTAGTGGCTAGCTGGACTTGCTTTTTTGCACACAAAGCACTGGTTATTTCACGCAAATCGTAATAGCCTCTGCTGTTTGGAACATGCGGTACCTCGATGTTTTTGGCAATTTATTTGCTACACGATAGATGATAGAGAAGAATTTATCAATGCTGGCTGGCTTTGTGGACGGTCGCTTTGGACCAGGTGGTCTAATATCGAACTACTGATGGTTTTTACTACACCTTTACTTGGCGATACTGGGAGATGTTCTCGAGCTAGCACGAAAAGTCAAGTTCCTAGAGCCACAGCCAATATAACTCGCTCCACCACAAGCGCAGTTGAACTGGTAGATACAATTGGAAGTGGCTAGCGCTAGTCTAGGTACTTCATCTTTCAATCGAGGAATCACCATCGGTCATGATCAATCCGTGATCAAAAATTGAAACAAATTAATATCTTAAGGGAATTTATAAAACACGATCACTATTATTGATCAGATGCAAAAGATCAGCCAAATATCTCCTTTTTTTCAACACAGTTTTTCAGTAATCGAATCACATCTTTGAGATAGTTGCTGAATAATCCTCCAAATGTGCCGTTATCATGAAGACTTGGTGATATTATTGTCATTCAAATCAATGTACAGTGAAAATTATTCGCAGTAAAGTGTAATTTTCTCTTGGATAACTGGTCCTTACTAAGAATTATTATTCCCAAATGTTGGTTTCCAGTGATCTGATCGGCTACAGGATTTATCACAAGCTG